CCGCCCCACACTCCCCAGAGTTGATATACGGCTGAAATCTTTATGGAAACTGACAGTCACATCTTTCTCCCACGGAGCAGTTAATGGGTGCAAATTGACTTTTTTTTTTAAAGTCAGCAGCCAAATGCCTAAGCATTGATTTGGGAGCCTTATTCCATTCATACTTCCTAACTGAAGTATGAGGAGGTGGGCAGGGCAGCGATTAAGTGCTTGTTTGCCACCAGCTGCGCCACACAACAAAGATGCGGCAGTCTGCTCCCATAAGCCTTGTGGGGCAGCTCACCTCTGTCCTAAAAGCTTTGCTTAGTTGGGGTGGATGCCATGTCCGGGGGGTTGGCCTTCAATTTGAACTTCGTCTGCTCTCATTAACTTAACTGAGAAGATCCTCAAAGGTCTTATTTCTAAACAAAGTCATGTTTACTGGCACCAGGGTTAAGACCTTAACCTACATTTGGCAGGGGCACAATTCAATCCCTCCTAATGGGTGACCAGAATGCACTGAAAGATGCGAGACTTAGATGTGACAAACTCAGTGTTGTCAGTCAGGGAACCAACCTGCCACCTGCCGGAGGAGTCATCCAGCACTCTCCATGGTCCTCTGTGTCCCAAGCAATTGTCCTTCTAAAATTCTACTAGGTTAGCTTTCTTTCCAACCTGAGAGCACTTTAAACTTTGGATAGAATGTGTGGAGCACACATAACTCTGCGGGAGGGGCCGGGGGAGGGAGAGGAAGCTCATTATAGAACATAACCAACCTATTAGTCCGTAAAGATCTTGATATCGATTTCGCAACAAATTAGAATGTTAAGAGAATGTCTGCCTGTGGAGCCATCGGATTAATGCATAAAAAATCAGATGACAAGATAACCAACCGTTGGTTATCAAATATCCTCAACAGCAAAAATACTTAAGAAAACTTCCTTTGGGTTCCAACTAAGCCCAGGGCAGGGCTGAGGAATCCCAGGGACCCCACCCCATGCATTGAAAACCTGACGAAGCAGGCATCCAGAGCACTCAGAGCCTACCCTAAACCAGGGGACTACCTCTTCTCCCTGCGTTCCCCATTGGCCCAAGATGTTATGATTACTGCCCCGCATTCGGCCTTCGTTAAGAAAATGATTACAAATCTTGCTTTGTAACTCAAGCTTCATAGGAACACGATAGATTACATGAACTTCCAAGAAATGAGAGAGTCACGGAATAAGGCCTTTTAGCAGGCGAGAGAGAATAGCGGATATGGTCATGAACTTCTCTCTGCCTCGTTGCCTTCTCTATAAAACGAAGAGGATGCATGTTTCCTCCTCAAGTGTTATTGCGAAGATTAAGTGAGTTGTTCTACAAGGTGTGCTCAGCCCAGTGCCTGGCAAGCGCAGATCGTTGGTGGAGGTGGGGCTAGTTGCTGTGCGTGTCCCACGAAACCCTGAGACATCATCTCCGAGATGGCTCTGTCCTGCGTGTGATGTTTGCTCGTCTTTTCTTCTCGGTTCCCAGGCCTTGCTCAGCGCCCACGACACTGTGGCTCAGAAAGACTTTGAGCCCTGGCTCCCCCCACTGCCAGACACCGTCGCTGAGAGTGAAGAAGCGATGAGGATTGTTTGTATGGTGAAAAACCAACAGCCTCTGGTGAGGCAATCACTCTGTCTTGTCATTTGAATTATACCAAGGCTAAGGGTGAACTGGGGTGCCCCTCGTTTCTACTGGCGGTCTTCTCGTCTGCAGTCAGGCATGCAGTTTGAGGCATTCAGAAAATATGAGAGCAACTCAGATGAATGATTCTTATGTGTGCTTTCAGACGTGTTTCCTGATGCTTTTACTAAGGAAAGATTGTCATGTACCCCCGCCCCAGAGTTGTAAGAAATGAGATGTGTGTACTTCATGTATTATTTATCTAACTCTGATATGCACATAGATTGCATTCGATCCCAATGCGTTTGCATTTTCTCCTCTCCTGGGGGGGCAGAAAAGTAAGATCTTAACGTGATTTTCTAAGAATGGCTCCTCTTTGGAAGGAGCCAAATATATTCTTTTTTGACCACGTGATGGGATAGAGACCTCAGGAGGCCAAGGCTGAGGTCTTTCCTTTTAGACCCCCATGGCATGATTGGCAGGCATCAGGCACTGTGCGACCCCTGCCTCCCTGATTGGTATAAATACCCTTGTTTAAAGATCAGCGCTGCGTTGAAGGAAGCCACCAGGAAACCAATACATCAGATAAAAGAGGGATCCATTGTTCTCTGTCTTTAGGGAGCCACCATCAAGCGCCATGAGCTGACAGGGGACATCCTGGTGGCCAGGATTATCCACGGGGGGCTGGCCGAGAGGAGTGGTAAGCCGAAGCAGTGGGAGCAGGAAATAGGGCACCCTTGCTTGTTGAGTCTTCTTTTTCTCAGGGGAGTCTCTCTCTACTATCTAAGATCAGGCTATAATAAGTCCCACTGCTTGGGGAAGGCAATGAAACATCTCACGGCTATTTCATAAGGTGAGACACATGATGCCATCTTGTGGATGAAGAAAAGGAGGCTCGGAGAGATTGAGTGACTGACCTCCCTTGATTCAAGCCCAGGTTGGCCTGACTCCACTCTCAACGCTTCCTCTTCATTTGGGACTTCAAAGCCACGGCCCTTCTCCATCTTTCCATGTCTTGTGCCCGTTCAACCAATTTTTCTTCTTTTCATGGATGCATATCTGAACTGAATGATTCTATGCCTATTGCCCCTTTTCCTCACTACCCATGACCCGGGAAGCCTGGCACAAGGCATATCTACCCCAATAGTATAATGGTAATTCCCCCCAAGGACTTCCTCGTTGCTCCATCTGTCTGCCACTCCTTCATCCTCACTTACTTTTATCTCTCTACCACATGGAAAGATGGAGACCACATTCTTTTTGAAATTTGTAGCACCTTTTATTTCTGTTCCATGACAACATTCCCCTTCTTATTTCATTGACTGCTTTGTCCAAGAGTTATCCATACTCCCAAGTTTCCCTACATATTGAGCAAGGGTCCTCTCCTCCCATCCCCACCTCTTCCATGTGTTTACATGACTCTGACATCTTTAGTTTTTGCTCCTGTCTCCTTACTGGTGTCTGGTTCCATTGTCCAGCATCCTGCTAGGAATTAAAAGCATTTTACCCTTCATTCCTACAAGTGTTGGTGGGGTCGGCGGGGTGGGGGTTGGGGGGGATGGACCTCGCCTGCACTCTGGCTATTCTTGCCGAACACAGTTCAATGTTTCAGAGCCTGCTTGGGTGAGGGAGCTGGTCCAGTAGCTTCTAGCTACGTCTACGCTTCACCTGCTCACCCGCACCCTCTTAGTTTGGGTTCTTGTTTGCCTAGGGTTGCTATATGCTGGAGACAAACTGGTGGAAGTCAATGGAGTTTCAGTCAAGGGACTGGAACCTGAGCAAGTGATCCACATTCTGGTAAGAGCCTCCGGTGGGTGGGGGTGAGGAGCCCCTTAAATAGCAACTCCACTGCTAAGCCCTAGGGACTCCAAGTTATCCCCCCTCCGTGGACCTTTTCTAGGCCCTGTCCCGTGGCACCATCATGTTCAAGGTGGTTCCAGTTTCTGACCCTCCTGTCAATAACCAGGAAATGGTAAGACTTTACAGAGCCTCCATTCTCATACCCAGTCAACCCCCCCAAGCACCAATGGTCATGAGTGGCTGGGAGTCCGTTATGGCAGATGAAAGCCCCATGTGTTCAGGAGTAGGACTGCTCCACGGGGGGTTGTTGGCTCTAATCTTACCAGATCGCCCAGGTTCTTCTTCCGCAGTCCTGCTGGGTAGATTGGAACCCCCAACCTGCAGTGAGTAGCCCAGTGCAAACCATCTGTCCCACCCGGGGACCCTCCCTATGACACTGACCCTGATTGCCTAAGAATGATGCTTCATGGTCCTGCCCTCTATAATGTGCTGAGCACTTGCTCCCTGTCCTGCTGTATCACTTGTTCAATGCGGATGACACGAGCGGCAGTGTGAGCGAGTGAGTACCATAAAAGGAGACGGAGGACCGAGAAGTTAAGCAGCAGCATCAAAAACCATGAAAATGTGACATTTTTTCCTCAGCACTGAGATTCTATTGCCAACATCACTTTTCTCATTGCTCTTTAGGCTCCATTTAGAGGCATGTTGGTTTTTTTCTTGAGGGTGGAGAGGGAAGACAGGAGCATGGAGGAGGAGGAGGAGGAGGAGAGGTCGTTGTAATCTTGGCAGCCAGTGCACAAGCGTTCTTCTCAAGGCATGTTATGTACCTGCTGCTAGGTGTACGTCCGTGCTATGACCGAGTACTGGCCCCAGGAGGATCCTGGCATCCCCTGCGTGGACGCTGGGCTGCCCTTCCAGAAGGGAGAGATCCTCCAGATTGTGGACCAGAATGACCCCCTCTGGTGGCAGGCCCGGAGAATCTCAGCCCTCAGTGCCTGTGCTGGGCTGATCCCTTCTCTCCACCTGCTGACGAGGTAAGAACAGGTCTCACTCCTGGACGTGTGACTGGACCATCAGGAACTGTTTGACTCCATTTCTGCTGTTGCAGTTAAGACGGGGGGTGGGGTGGGGGGGCGGTGAGAGAGAAAGAGATGCACACATTGGCTTACAAATCCACGTGTCAATTTATTGATAGTCCCCAAGCATCTTAACCACTGAGGGAACCGGAAGAGTCGTTCTAGCTGGGAGACCATGTGGGAAAGGGGATTCGACATGTTTAAGTAGCTCCATGATCACTCTGTCAGTGAACCATGCAAGACTGATTTGACAGCTCATTGACTTAATCTCAACTCCTCAGCCTCTCCTTGTGCCCTGGGGCTTGACGAGATGCCGGGGTACGAGTGCAGACAGAAAGGTGAAACGGTACAAGGCTCAGCCAAGCAGAAGAGAAGGGACTGGCAGTAAAGATGGAGAAGCAATGGCCCAGGAGGCAGGATGAGATCAGGCAATGCCATGTCCTGCCCAACTGTATCAGTGACTCCTGATGGATGGAGAACTGATCCTCAGACCTGGCAACAGAGAGATCACTGGTGATCTGGATAAAAGCACTGTCAGGGGAGGACTGGAGCCAAAACCCGAACTGGAATGGGAGGAAAGAAAGGAACAGTCATGAGCATGGGACGCTCTGGTAACGTTTGGTGTAAACACCCAACTCCCGGCCATCGAGTCAGTTCCACCTCCGGCGCCCCTGTGGAACAGTGTAGAACTGTCTCTGTGGGTGTCGGAGACCGGAAAGAGAGAGCCTCGTCTGTGTCCCGTGAGCAGCTGGTGGTTTTGAGCTGCCGACCTTCCAGCTGGCAGCCCAATGTGTCCCCACGACGCCAGCAAACAAAAACACCCAGCTCACAGCCACGGAGCCGGTGCCAGCTCGTAACGACGCCACCAGGGCACCTCCAAAAAGAGCACAGATGTGTCCCAGGAGATGGGAAAGTGGGCTGGCAGAAGGGAATTAGGTCTTTGGCATGGAATAAATCATAGTGGTGGGGACGATCCAGTTGAGAAGGATATTTTTATGCTGGAGAAATGCTGATATCCTTGAGCAGGCAGGTGGAGATTGATCTAGTGTCATAGAGGGGCTGGTCTTATCCACAGGCATGGGAATGCGGGAGCAGAAGGGGAGGTGGAGCACATGGGCACAATGGAGGTTGGGAGTTCGGGGACATTATCTTCCAAATGCTATTATTTTTTCCAGTGAAATAAGCAGCTATGTCATAAGCTGAGAAGTAGGAGGTCTAGAGAAGAAGAGAGGTGAAAAGTTCTACAAGAGCTAGAGAATAAATGGATCAGGTCAACATAGTGTGATCAGTACTAAAGGCCCATTTGAAGTTAAAGTCCATGAGTTTGTAGTATTTCTTGTCAGTGTCCAGAGGGACAGGTCCAGACTATACAGAGACTTCAATTTAACAGTAAGTTAAATGTGGACCCAGGGAGTGAGTATAATGGTGATCAGTTGTATGACTCTGGGTTGACTAGAGAAACAAATCCAGGAAGACTCATATGTATATAAGAAAGAGCTTTCTTTCAGAGAGTAGTGCATATTAAGAAAACAATCCAGCCCAGTCCAGATCAAGTCCATAAGCTTGATATTAGCCCATATGTCCGATACCAGGCTATAAGTTCCTCTTCAGATTCACGCAACATATACAATGATGCTGAATGTGAATGCAGGAACATCACAGGCCAGTGGATGGAAAGTCTTGTGGATCCAGTGGTGGAAGAAGCATCACAGCACTGATGTGGGTCTCCATGTGGCTCCTGCAGCTCCATTGCTCTGGCTCCATCAGCGTAGCTCCATGTGGCTTTTCCACAGGAATGTCTTACAGAGAGTGTGTCTGGCTTCCAGTGAGCTATTTATCTCCTTTGCCCCTCCAAAGGAGGTCATCAAGCTGTGACCTGATTGACAGGCTAGACTCCACCCCTTCCTCAAGTTGACAGTAGATTATGTAACTGCCACATCCATGAAATTTAAGCTGTTCTGGAAGGAGTGAGGAAATGAAGAGGATGTGAAAAGGAAGTGAGATCAGTGAATTTATAAATTCAGGACGTTGTTACTTTGTCAATGGCTAATCAAGGAGGTGCTAAGAGCAATAGCTTCCTAGAGGATCAAGAGGAAATTTGAGGCTAAGAGGATAGGAGGAAGTGCTTAGAGAAATGGGTGGTGGGAGTTAAAATTATGGTGAGATTGCGGCTATCAGTAGGAGCCCAGGTGACATAGTGGGTTACATGTTGGGCAGCTCACCACCAGGTCAGCAGTTCTGGCCCATCAGCTGCTCCAAGGGAGAAAGATAAGGATTTTTACTCCCATAAAGCATTACAGCCTCAGAAACCCACACAGCTACTTCTACTCTGTAGGCTTCCTAGGAGTTAGAATCAACTCAATGGTAGTTAGTTTTGCAGCTATCGGTTTTGAAAAAGTCTAGAATATGATCGTAGGAGGAAGTGGAAGGGGTCGGATAAGGGAAAAGTCATTGGAAGACAGGAGGTCAGGAACCGAGAAGCCAGAGGTTGGAAGCGATATTTACGTAGCTGATATAAATCACCAGCAATATAACAGTCCACTGTTGGAGACGGAGGAAAGACCTGGCAGTCCGCTCCAGTAAAGATTGAGCCTAAGAAATCCTACAGAGCAGTTCTACTCTGTCATAAGGGTTCACCAACTTCATGACACACCACCACCACTAGTATTATGATGAGCAGGGGATGGGGACCACAGGAATCAGGTAGGAAGATGACATTCAGTGTGTGTGTGTGTGTGGGGGGGGGAAACAGGGGGGAGGTCTTCCAAGGAAGAAGGAGGATGTCATGGCAGTGGTCTGAGTCCAGGCCCGGCCACCTCCAGGCCCAGTGGGATGGGAGTTGTCTGCAGTTGACTAACACTGTCAACCGCCTCTTCCTAAGTGCTCATTCAGCGAACTCAAGGTGGTAGCTTGAAATCAGCCACAGCGAGTGTTTCCAGTACAGAACCTGGCCAATCAACGGATCAGGGTTCTCCCAAACCACACCCCTCCCCGCTGCTGCCCCATCCAGGGCTGGCTTATCAGCACACCACTGGGAATGGGAGAGGAAGCACAAGGGCTCTGACGACATTGGGAAGAGCCCTGTCTCAGGAAAGTTGAGGTGCAGAGGCTGAGGTGTGAGATTTTGCTGAAGATTTACTGTGAGTCCTGAGGGTGTGAGAAAGGGCTTCAGGCAGATGTGTTGATGGGGCCCTGCCCTGGGGAGAAGTCCTGGGAACAGGATGTGAAGGGTGACCGGAGCTGGGAGGAGTCACCTGCAGTGCCCGGGACTTATCTCCAGGGAATCAGGCTCAGCAGATCTGGGAAGCCCAGGAACCTGCATTTTAAACAAATACCACCGAGACAAGCCAACGTCTGAAAATGACTATTTGTACTTTACAAAACTTTAAGGTGCATATGACTTACCTGGGGCTCTTATTAAAAGGAAACCCTAATTTGGAAAGTCTTGGGTGGCAGCCTGAGATCTTGCATTTCTGACAAACTCCGGGTGAATCGGCCCAGACACCTCACTTGTAACAGCAAAGAGTAAGATGGCTGTTCACCGTTATCTGTTGCTCTAAACTTCATCGTAGCGACAGAACCACTTCTCTTCGAAGATTGTTTGGGGCTGGGTGAGGCAAAGAGGACCAGTTCAGAGAACTTTCTTGGGGTGGAGGGGCCCATGGGAGGAAGAACAAGTCAGCGGAGATGGCAGGAAAAGGCGAGGCCTTGACCCCAGGGGGGTTCCTGGGGATCAAGGAAAACGCAGGGTCTTCTCAAGGAATTGTTGACACAGTAAAGCGTTTTTATAAAAGAAAGAAAACGAACTGAAGGAATTGCCGAGAGTGCCAAATGGTCTGGAAGGGACATACAGGTCAGGACAATTCCAATGAGATGCCATGCTGGAGCGGCCAGGACCAGGGGCGGGCAGTGTGCGGATGCTCTGTGGTGCGTGAGCTCACCACCCTGCCCCGCATTTTCACCCTAGGTCTGCAGTGTTCTTGTGAGGCAGGAGAGGTGTTCAGAGAAGAAATCTCCCTTTCACTTGGGGGAAGCAACTGAATGCTAGGAGACAGTCTGTGTGAGGCTGCCCCAGGGCTGTTTCCCCTGGGTTAATCCCTCTCCCCCATACCCCTTGTGCTATATATTTTTTCCCCACAGGAAGCAACGGGAATTCTGGTGGTCTCAGCCTTATTCGCCCCATTCCTGCCTCAAGTCAGCTAGAGGTGAGTGTGCTGACTCTGCAAATGCAGCGTGTGTATCGTGGAATGCCAGCTTTCCCCCAGGGCTAGCTTCTTGCCCAAGAGAGCGTCTCTAAATGTTCCCATCGCCCCAAATAACGTTCCTGGCAACCATGCAAATTCCTACCATAGAAATTCACTACTTTGGATATGGAGAGGTTTATGGTTTATGAAAATGCAAATGTTCCTATGTTGATGACATCCCTCACAACTTGTGCTCAGAGATCTCTGCAGCTAGGAAATATGTTCTGTGCATACTGGAAGCCAGGAGGCATAGCCACAAACACACTCTCCATAGCTTTGCGGCCGTTCGGTGCCACTGGGTCCGTTCCAACTCAGAGTTGGAACAGAACGTACAACAGTAGAACGAAGCGCTGCCCAGCCTACACCATCCTCACAACTGTGCTTATATGTGAGCCCCTGGTTGCAGCCACCATCTCAATCCACCTGGTCCAGGATCTTCTTCTTGTTATCGCTGCCCCTTTACTGTACCAAGCCTGCTATCCTTTTCCAGGGGCCGGTCTCCCTGGATGCCATGTTCAATGTACGTGAGACATAGTCTCGCCATCCTCATTTCTAAGGAGCATCCTAGCTGTACTTCCAAGACAGACTTGTTTGTACTTTTGGCAGTTCTCAGCTGTCAGTACTCTTTGCCAGCATCATCGTTCAAATGCATCCCTTCTCTTCAGTCTGTCAATTTATGAGTTAAACTTCACACTGTTCAGAAGCTCTAATGGCAATTCAGGGTGCCTTCCCTGAATAAATGTGGAAATGAGTTGATTAGAGTCTTCAGTATGGATTCCAACTCAATGTGACGAACACCAAACTGCTCAGAACTGGACCACTAGACATCATGATCAATGGAGAAAAGGGGAGCCTTGTCAAGGGTTTCATCATTCTTGTGTCTGCAATCACTGTCCACGGACGTAGCAGTCGAGAAATCAAACAGTTGAAGGGACCCAATGGGCAGTGTAAGATACAAGATAAGAATAACAGTATATAATTGATCAAGGATTCATGAGGATGGGAGGATGGGGGAGGGAGAGAGGGGGAAAAATAGGAGCTTATACCAAGGGCTCAAGTAGAAATTGTTTTGGAAATGATGATGGCAACTTATGTACAAATATGCTTGATACAATTGGTGTATGGAATGCTATAAGAGCTATAAGAGCCCCCAATAAAATGATTTTTTTTAAAAGAAATCAACCACTGCACTGCACTGGGTGATTGCCACACAAGACTTCTTTAAAGTGTTAAAGAGCTCGGGTGCCGCTGAGGTCCAAGGCGCATCGAACGCATTTGTGTCAAAGGCATGTGGAAGCTGGACAGTGAAGCAGAAGACAGAAGCAGCGCCGGTGCATTTGCACGATGGCCTTGGTGTAGAACGCTGAAAGTACCACAGGCTGCGGGGAGAACAAGCAAGTTGGTCTTGGAGGAAGTACAACCAGAGTGCTCCTTAGAAGAGAGAATGGTGATACTTTGTCTCAGATGCTTTGGCTCTGTTAGGAGGAGGGACAAGGACCTTGAAAAGGACGTCATGCGTGGTAAAGCAGAGCGTACTTTTTTAAAAAGCAGACGTCTCCTAAGAAGATGGATTGATACAGTGGCTGCAACGATGGACTCACAACAAAATAGTTGTGATGGTGATATCTAACCGAGCAGCGTCTCTTTCTGCTATACTGACGTCACTGCGCGCTGGCGTCAACTGGATGGCACCCAACCACACTACATGTAGCATCTTTGCTAGCTGGTACTTTCAAAGAGGGGCCGGGGGGTGATTAGGAAGGGAATCCATGGTGGCAAATGCGTGTGGATAACTTACGGACCTAAAGGGTGCTCACCAGTTGGAGCGAGCTGAGTAGAGCCCTTCAGAAGTAGTGCCCAGGTGGTCCCTGGAAAGGAATGAGGGAAGGAGATGGTGAGCCAGGAGCGAGGATGGAGAAGATTAGAAGGGCACAAAAGACAAGATCACAGGTTTGCCTATGGTAAGCATCTATCCACTGCATTATCTCCACTGCTCTCAGCGGGGGTTAGTTTGTTCTTCCTTTTCTTGTGGAAAAGAGAAGCTGACAAGTATAATGACATTTTTGAAGGAATAAAAGAGTCAACATTTCTTCATATTGACAGTATTTTCATGGCAAATTAGAAACATTTATACAGTTGTAATGATATTTTAAAGATCATCTTCAACAAGGATTTATTGTTCATAGAATAAATATGATATTAATGATAGCATTCAACAACAAAGTTTAATAATAGTTGAAGTAAAATACCACTTTTTATCTTTTTTATAACGACATTTTATCAGAACCATTTTCATGTCATTATCTTCATTGTGATGTTTTATCTCTCCCATCCCTTAAAAATGTGTGCTTACGAGCCAGACTGAAGTAATCTTTAAAGGTCATTTTCCTGTGTGGAAATGCTAGTTAGCGCTGGTTGACATTTCCTGTGTTCATGTAGCCTCAGTGTGGTTTATATTAGACTTTCTGAACAGTCCTATGAATTCCCACTCAGATCTCCAGGAAGAGAAATTCTAGGGTCAGAGACTGACATATAGAATCACCCCCCTCAGGGAATGTCTCTGTTGGAGATGCCAATTTTCTAAACTATTAGATCATTTCTCTTCAGTGATTGTAGGTGTGACAATGGGTATTATTCCATGCTTTGCTGTTCTACTTAAATACTGCCACGGCGGAAAAGATCTCAAGAATAGATAATTTTTTTCAATCAAGAGTTATTGAGAAATTCCAGGTTAATGTTAGTTTGCAGATGGTTACTGAAAAGCTGCTTAATGAAGATGCATTTAAGAATACTCTCTCTTCTTCCTTCTGTCCCTCCCTACTAAGTTCCTAAAATGTGTGGAACACAGTAACTCAGAAATGAGTAGAACACAATCCCTATAGGGCTATTTAGGAGGAAAAGGAGTGAGTTAGCCAGAAGTAGGTATATTGCAATCTTAGACTGGGTTCTCTGGAAAAGGAAAACCAGTGAAATGCATAGAGATGAGGAAATTTAAATTTCTAAAAATGGCTCATACTGTTGCAAAAGCAGGCAAGCTCCAAGTCTGTGGATCAAGTGTTAGGCTAGAGGCTTCTGCTGACTTGAGTCACTGCCGCAGCCGATGAACCCAGGATGGGCATGGTGACGATAGGCTGTTAGCTGCAGAGGAGAATTAACCTAATGTCAGCAGGCCAGCCTTGTAGCTACAGAAGCAAATGAATCCAAGGTTGGAGGACAGATGGCAGACTGCTAATAACTCTCAAGATTAGCAGGTAATGTGGCAGGCCATTGACATGAGTCTAATCAGATGACGTATCCAGAGTCAGTAAAAAGCAAGCAATCTTTTCCATATTGGGCACACATACTCCCAAGGAAAACTTCATTTCAATGAATTGCATCAGGGCTGTACCCTGAATAAAGGTGTTGTCTTCCACCCTAATCTTCTTACAACTGATGAGCTGCTCATAGCAGGCCCTGTTATGAAAGTCATTACCTTATGTCAGGTGACGTCATGGAGGATTATTATGTCTAAAATTCCCAACCACTGAGAACTCTGGCCCAGCCAAGTTGACACAAACCCATCACTGTCACAATTCCCCATTTGGTAATAAGGCTCACAATTATATGAGGTGGTATAGATTATTCATATATCATTTTGTTACTAAATAGAAAGAATTTCCAGAGTAACAATTGCACTAGCTTTGGCACCTTTGCTTTTCTGGTTGTAAGTAAATTAGTCTTGGAAAGCTGTTGAGTAACTTTTCTTTTTAATTTTCTTTTCCTGCTTCAATGATTTGTCTGTTTCAGTGAGTTCTATGGAAGAAGGTAAGTGATAATATTTAGAGGGAAAAGAGGAAAAAACCCTCATTTCCAAAGTCTTCTAAACATTCCCATTGTTCTCTTAATTCATTAGACTTCAATGTGTCTGTTAGGAGATTCTGAACCCAATAGCGTAGTCACTAGACCCAATTTACAAAAAAAGGTAATGGCCAGGAAAATACATACATGAGCATTCTGCTTCTAGGGTGCTAGTTCATTAATACATGAAAATGCTCCCAACAAAACATGTTTAAACATGTCTCTGTGATCAGGGAGTAGCTGCCGTCGAGTTTTCTCAGTAAATCACCTGTCTTAGTCTCACGAGGATGCCTTCACAGAACAGGTACAATCAACAACACAGGGGCTTCCAAGGGGCACTGCAGAGAGGTTAGTCAGAAGGTTATAGTGACTTTTTAAAAACTAATATTCCAAAGGGGTAATTTTGATAGCATTTCTCTCAGAGGGGTTTATTATGGAGAAGTTTTAAGAAAATTGAAAATTGCGTTCATGAGGAAAAAGTCCAGGAAAGTTTCACAGAGAATCCCCCCCCACACACACACACACCCCAATACCACAACTCACCTGCTCATTCCTTCAGGGTAGTAAGGGTTGCCCTCTAAGAATTTCATTGGGAAGCCTTACCCCATCCACCCTGTCCCTACATCCCAAAGGCCATCTAAAAATAACACGATTCGAGTCGCTCGAGGAGGCCAACGCTGCCAGTTCAACATGGTATAAATCGAACAGCTCCGAATTCTCTGGGGATGGATTGGAGTGGGGACCACTGCCTCCCGACATTGTTGTTTAACAGGAGTTTCTATGGTCCCAAATAAGAAAGCTACAGTTGTTTACTTACCCTCATCCGACAGAGCCCTTTGTATCCCTCCACGTGAGCAATGGTTGAAAGGATATGATTCTGCCCGGCAGTCTGCACTTTAGGGAGATACACCACTGTGTAGGGAATTTTTATTTTAAATGCGGGCACAGTTGGAGTTTATCTTTTTTTTCCTTCCTAGAAGATGACATGCAGATTGACGAGAAATGTGTGGAAGCAGGTAATGTTTTCTTCTGATAGGCTTGCCACCTTCGGAAACGTGAAGCCAACAGGCCCCTCTCCCCGCTCTTTGTGTGTGGTCTGGCAGCTGGCAGGGGGAGCACAGCCCGGGGGAGGTCTCTAGTTTAGAGTGGATTCTGGGAAAGGATCTCAGGAACGCTTGGCAACACTCGGAGCATCAGATGGCAGAGCACCTGCCAGCCACCGTGGGGCTGGAGAACAGACCTTCAGAGTAGCAGAAACGCGAGGCCAATGCCATCTTCTGGTGGATTCTAGCACTGATAAATAGTACAGTGGGTTCCCCAAGTCCGAAGAAGATATAAAAACTTGTCCCATACCTGTCTTTAAATATTTTTGTGAACTGGGAAGAGATTTTTTCACATTTCATGGCAGTACCAAGATTGGCTCAAGAATCGATCAAGAGGGTCTGGTTGGGAGGCCAGTCAGAGATCCTTTGGTCGGAAAGTTGAATTTTCCATCTTGGCTTTAGAAGCGATTCTAGCCTGGAGATATGTAGAGCCAATATGAAGTGTTTCATTAGTGGGTACTTCAAAGATTCACATGGCCCTCCCAGAGCAATGACAGAGTCATGTTGACACTGCATTTTGCCAAGGACACATTCTGTTTTCTTATGACGATCATTACTATTCATTTATTTTCTTTAACTTTCATTAAAAGCTTCTGATCAGATCGTTGTCATTGCGTCAGTTTTGCCTCGTGGTGGACAATAGGACAGAGTAAACCAAAACGGCGATCTTTTCTGCTGAGTGCGTTTGACATGTCTGTCTCCCAGCGAGCAGCTCAACCCTGAACAGTGTGCCATCCGAGCCAAACCCACCGCCGCTGAGACGGTTCTGACTCGGCCCCTATAGAGGGTCTGAGCCGCAACGGTACTGGGGCAGACAGCCTCATGTAGGCGGCTTCGTCACTACAGCAGACAATCCCACCCATCGGGTGCCTGCTGGGGCTGGGCCGCTGCACCTGACAGTTACCAACCCAACTCCTACCATTTGACCCCAAACTGTTACTCAGCCAACACCTAAACTCACTGCCATCGAGTCAGTACTGACTCACCCCCTGGGGGTTTCCAAGATTGTGTGGGTGCAGAAATTCCCGTCTTTCTCCCACGGAGCTGCTGGTGGCTTCCAATTGCTGACCATGTAGAGCGCAGCCCGACAGGTATTTAAAAAGCACGTCTAGTACAACGTTCCTCCCTTCCCATGTTCCTCATTGAGGTTTCTTTCTGGGGGTAATAAATATTCTCAGTGCCTTTATGTATCTCCGGGCATGATCTGTTCATGTAAAAGCAAAGATGTAAATTTGATGTCCTTTCTGCTCTCCCATATCTATTTTTTTTTAACATTGAATTAGCGCTTTGTTGCTTTTTTAGACAATTTTAAAATTGTGAATTAGGCGAGGGTTACGTTCAGAGATTCAGTTTTCTATTTGACAGTGTAAACTACTTAACACTCCCTGGCAAGTTTACCCTCCCCCACGTCTTTGTTTTCTCTTCTCCTTTGTGTAGATCACTCTCTTCCCCTTCATCCAAGTTAACACCAGTCCTCCCGCCAGCCCAGTGCTTCATTTCCCCACCCTGCCCTCCCCAGCTTGAGAACCACCAAGAATGTCCCTTTTGACGGTGGCTATACACAGCGTTTGTTCCTGTCTTTTATTACTTACCATTCTATTTTGCAGTTGAACCCTTCTTAACACATAAAGAACTCCTCATCTATTTTTACCTTTTAAAGCCGCTTTATTATATTCTACTTCTTAAATAAGTGATCATGCATGTATGCAACTACTTATGGTACTACTCATAGAGTTACAAATCCATCATTTCGCAACAGGATAAGGATCCAGTTGATGCAGCGTTGGCTGACCCTGGAGTACACACCTTGGTCATGCTCTTCTGTAGATATTTCAAATTGTGCTCCAAAGAAGTTCAAGTTTCTTATTCCTTTATGTTGAAAGTTGAGACTTCCTACTCCCAGAAAGAGTTGCCCTCTCAGAAACTCCCAGGGACAGTTCTATCCTGTCCTGTGGGGTCACTGTGAGTCGGCATCCATGTGGTGGCCGTGAGTTTGTTTGGGGGTGTTTATTCCTTGATGTTGCTTTAAAACGTTATGAAGAATTGTTGAAAACTAATGAGGAAAGTTGTTTTATTTGAGATCTTAGTCACTTAAATAAGCCCACCCAGTCAAGCCCTACACTCACGCTCTTTACCACTCTTGTCTGGCCATGGACGCCACCCTCCAGGCAGGGCGCCGTCCCTTCTACACTGCATCACCAGCAGCCGCTGGGGTCCTCAGGATAGTCCAGGTTTCCCCTCCACAAAGTCTCCTTTTCATCGAGTGTCTTTATGTCACCCTCCTGCTGTACCCCAGCTTGCCATGCTGTGCCACCTACTGAATGCCATGACGTCTCATTTCGCTTACATAAAGGGCATTCCAGAAAGTTCGTAGGAAGCATCCTTTATCTTTTAGCTCCATTTCCCCACAGACTTCTGACCCCGCTCTGATAGGCCGGAGTCACACTGACCTGGCCGTGGTGTAGACAGATGAGAATCAGGGGTGTGCGGGGAGAAGCCCGGGGTCAGGAAATTAGGCTGTTCAAATGTGGACACTGTGTGGATACTAATGCAAAGACAGTTTTGTTTGTTTGTTTGTTTCCTCCATGGAAAACCAAAGATGAGGAAACATTTGAATCTGGTAAGTAAACAAAATAAGTATTCGACACTTTTCAACTTAGATGCCAAATCTTGGCATATAAATGAGTAGTTAGGGATATGATACAATAATTTTTAAAGCGAATCCACCATGTAACTCTCAGAGGTGGACACTTGAGTAATCCAGTGCTCTCAGTAAGGGCAGTCCTGTCGGAGGAGAGCGTTTTGGAGCTGTGTGGGGCCCTGATTTGGTTGTCAGGATCCCTGAGGGCAGTCTGTAAGGTGCAGGAAAGCTGCAAACACGCCTCCCTCCCAGGAGGCGCTTTAGCCTATGGAGTGCTTGTCAGCCAAAGGAGGAGTTGAGCAGACCCAAGAAGGATGCCTGTAATCCAAAGGAATCAAAACCTACACCAATCCCAAGTGTAGATAATTCAATTATCCCATATAGGTCCAGTGCCTAACAGAAAACAGAACATTTAGAAACAACCCAAATGAAAAATAAGTTAGGTCCTTCACTCCACCCATCTCCACGCCCTCTTTTTTATAACTCGTATTTGCCGCGATCCTCTGCTCTGGTGTGATCATTTCCCCTTCTTTAGTGGCTAACTTCACTTTTTCTACGGCTTCACGCTTTTCATGTCTCTTTCTGCTCTTACCCAACGATCAGAGGAGCTGTCGGAAGGTAATTTCTTGTTTTTATCTCCGGAGTATACCAAGTACAACTGCGTGTAGGTCTTTCAGAGCCTCAGAGTGGATACCTGGCAGGATACTTTCTATGATGAAAATGACATGTTTTCAAGGTGAAATCAATGATTGTTGAATTTCATAGGTAATTCTTTTAAAATAAATAAGAAAGCAAAGTGAAGCTTTTGTGAATACAATGAAACCTGCCCCTGGATGGGATGGCCTTGCCTTTCTGGGGCCCCACAGGTTCCCACCTTTGACAAGGTGCAACCGTCCCTCTCTGCTACCATTTCTGTTAGTGGGAAGTATTTGAATTGTCCTGCTCTCATCGAAGTCTTCCTTGTGTGGGTTCTGGCTTTTTCAGATCTGATGGTATATTCCTATATAAACATCTCCTGTAAGTGTACCGGCATATTTCAATTAGAAAAATACACTTACTTGCCAAAAGCTGGAACTGGTAGCCATGTGCTTCTTTATATTTTAAAATATTTATGCAAAAACAAAGGTTAAGGGAAAAGACTCCGCCAGTCCACTTTACGAACAGATGTTCTTTTTGTGTTTCAATGATCAGAAGTGTCTACATGAAAAAGAATATGTGAAAAGAGTTTGAAAAGAACATATAAGATTTTTTTTTACCTCTGGACTTTATAGTACTTATTCTGAGGTCCCAAATAATTCAGAGCTAAACTAGCTCTCGTTGTTTGTCATAATAAATCTCAGCACTTTGTTAGGCATAAAGAGGTTTACTGAGGAATGGATACGGCTCAAAGCAGAGAGCTGTCGAATCCACAAAGTGACAGTAAATGCTCCAGTATTCTGAAGGGAAAGTGAGCCAGGGATTATGTATCATCAAAGACAATAGCAAGTCACAATGGTACGGGGTTAGTAATCCACCCTCTAGGACAGATTTTCGGCCACCAACCTAGCACATGGTCCCACATATACATTTTTTCCTGGAGCATGCTGGGTAAGCACTCTCCCAAGACAACTCTGGCAAACATCCCTTCACAAATCACATCCTTGCCTCCTTCATTGTTGGCTGAAGGTTGTTGAAAAGTTTTACAAAAAATTCACAAGACTAAATCATAGGCTCTATTCCTAGGAAAGCAGAAAGAGGACAAGCTAAGTTTTAACACGGTGTTGTTGGTAGATACTGTTGAGTCAGTGCTGACTCGTACTGACCCTGTGTACCACAGCAGGCAAGACTTCCTGGTCCTGCTCCATTCTCTATCACACACACACACACACACACACACACACACGCACACACACACCGGCCCTGATTAGGATGTAGGTCAGTCATTGTCAGTCATGCCAAGCACTTCAGTTGTCGAGTGCCCTCATACACGCTCCAGGACCTCTGGGCACTGTCCTCATTTTGTCTTCTTAGACAATCGGAGACAATTGGCAGCCATAGAGTAAATAATAATTCTATAAAGAACAAACTAGTTTATAAGAAAAAGGAAATTAAATCTAATGCATAGTAAAGAGGTTATGGAACCTATTAGAACATGTTCTCATCAAGTTAAAACCAAACCTAGTTTATTGTTTGTTTTTTAGAATTTTTCATAATATATACTTCATATTTAGGGTTTTTTTTAACAATGCCTCAGTACTTTAGGTATAGATTTAAACAAGCCTAAAATAACTTAAGGCTTTCAGTCGTATTAGGTATATTCAGGGGGATGCTAGAATTCTGAAGTGTCTATATAACCAGGTGCTTCTGAATAATAGGATGGAAAAGTGCTTAGAACCTGCTTCAATCATAAATGTGCTGTCGTCCAATGGGAAAGTGCCACTTACAAACTTGATCAGAGTTCCATGCATCCAGTCTAAGCAAAGTTCTCTTCTCCCTCCACATATTCTGCACCCGTTGTTCTCTGCGTTCCAGACAAGGAGGAATTTGTCTACGATGGTCAGATGTTCTTTATTGGTATGTGACTATTTGACTTACTTTTGGCTCACCTCCACCTATAAAATGTAAACTGATGAGGACATGGCCTTTGTTGAGTAGATCCCTCTATGCCTAGCACCTAGGTACAACGCCTGGCACAAAGTAGGTGCTTGATGTAACTTAAGGTGGCACATGGCTATTGGGTTGTTTTCCTTCCTGTCTTCTCAGGCCAGACAGATGTGACTATGCTAATTAACACGCAAGACTCACAGCCACTGTATACTTTATCACGTTTTAAGCAGGAAGTGACCTCTCCTGCCCTACATCTTATGCTCTTTTGGTTTCTATGCCTGCACCTCAAGCTGGTTTCCGCCGCAGCATGCGCCTCTGTCGAAGGAAGTCTCATCGCAGCCATCTGCATCCCAGCGCATGCTGCTCCGGCCGCTGCCCCATTGCGGGGCATGTCCCCTACGAGGAGGTGGCACGTTACCAGCGAGGCCCTTCAGACAAGCACCGCCTGATAGTGCTCGTGGGTATGTCCCCCTCCGCCACGCACTTGCCCGCCTCACCAAGGGAGGCCTGTTCCTTGTAGACCCAGCAACGTCACGTTGGAGTCGTGCTGGCAAACGCAGAATTTCTTTCTGCTTTTCTTTCCCCCACAAACAAGCAAAAAAACATCCGCTTTTGTTTCAATAAAGTCTCTGTGTGTGTTTATATCTTGCAACAATTGAATGTACTCTGTGCCACGTGGACATGAACGTGTGTCCTAAACTAATTTTGATGATCATGACGATGATCATGAGGTGTTTGTCTGTTTTTTTCCTGTCGGTTTAAAACTTGTTGTGTAAGCACAAATGAATGTTTCCCCAGACTGGATCACTAGTCTGTATTAGAAAAAAAAATCCTAATGGTCCATTTCCCTAAGAAAAATCGTAAGCACCCCATCTTGAAGGTCTTCTGAATTGTACCTTTGATGCTAATGAACAGGGCAAGCATCGGTTGGGGTGACCTACTGTTGTGACCAGGCTCTCTGTGATGTTGGTCCCAATGGCAGTAGCCCTGCACCTTCCTGCCCTGTCCTCCCAGCATGCCCGAGCTGGCTGTGGAGAGCAGAACCACATGGTCTGCAGCCAGGATCCGCCATCTCATTTGCAGGCTCAGGACAGCACGGGGATGCACGGACTCCTTGTTCAAAGATTAAGAACCTCAAGACAGCATTCGCAGGGCATTTGATCAAGTGTGCACCCTTCTAAGTGTGGTGGGCCCTGTGGCGCAGCACAGTTTATATGCCTATTTGTCTGCTCTAGTTAGACAAATGGGGTGTGAACTCAACCACAGGCCAGGAACGTGCTCTCTGAACTACCCAAGCCCCATAGCCTAAGAGAGTTTAGCCTGTTTTCTGGATTGTAACCCAGATAGAAACTTCCTTGGAAGAAAGGCAGGCTGTCTCAGATGATCTCTGCTGAAATACGGCTAGCAAATGTCCAGTTTCCAACATTAGACATTTGCTGGGGCAGCAAGTGCTTACAAGTCCTTACTTCATTTCTTTCTCTCTTTTTTTTTTTTTTGTAAATGAATTTTTAATTGTGAATTTGGTGGAGGTTACATTTCAGACAATCAACTCTACATTCTACAGTTCAAACCACTCATCAACCTCTCCCCCATATTCTATCCTAGCCCCCCTTCTGTTTTCTCCTTGATGCCTTGTGGATCTGTAGCACCCCTTCCACCCAAGTCAACGCCTGTCAGCCTTCTGGCTCGTTGCTTTAGCTTCCCATGCTCGCTCGCCTTCCTTTGGAACCTCCAAGGTCTTTTGGTAGGCTAGTCTTTGTCCTGGCTTTCCTCCTTTTAGTAGTGGTCTCGTACACGGTGTGTCCTTTCTGACTTCATTTCGGAGAGTTGAAGAAATGTGGGTTATACCACTAGCCACCAGAAAAATGCTCAAGAGCATTTTGGAGTTGTTCCAATTTGTGGGAAGGGAAGTTATATAATCTCTCTAAAAGAACAGTTGCTCTTAATTTTTAATTCTTCCAATGAAGTCTTCACCACCACACACCTATTCACGCACACCCAGTGGTCTCTGTCTGTGACTCTTTGTGTTTAGGACCTTCTGGAGTTGGAGTCAATGAACTGAGAAGACACCTCATCGAACATAATCCCAACCATTTCCAAAGTGCAGTGCCACGTATGTTTAGTATTTCATTCATGTTTTTTGTGAAACCTTCTTTGTGTTTGCAAATGTACTGATGGAACTTACCTATGCCACACCATTTCTTGTTGTAAAAATAGAAGGCACAAGAAATGGCCCTTAAATATTTCTAACTGAATTTATCGTCATGAAGAGAATTGATTTACTGACACGTACCAGCTAGCCTTTTTAAAAGATGATGTTATCTTTTAGTCCCCTATTTCTTAGTGATCACATAGATGGTCTTTTAGGAAAAGTAATAATTAGTAAAAATAATAGCTAACACTCATATAGTCTTTACTACTTTCAGACACTGTGTTTAGTTCTTTAACTTCCTTGGCCTGTTTATTATTTTTTGGAAAACTATGTATACACCTTACTTAAAAACATGGAAGTAGGAGGTGCAATGGTTGAGCACTGGGCTGCTTACCAGAGGGTTGGTGGGCAGGTTGAACTCGCCCGGTGCTTTCTGGGAGAAAAGGCCTGGTCATCTACTTCCATAAAGAATCGGGCCTTCCATAGGAATCCCTTCTGGGGAGTTCTACTCTATTATATGGTAAAGGAGATGAAGAGACTGCCGTGCTGAAAACCACTAGGTGTGGTACAGCTGTATTTCAGTGCCTTTTAAATTGCTGTGTGCTGAGTCCAACTCATGATGACTTCATCAATCAAGGCCCATGTGGCCCCATAGAACTGCCCCATAGGGTTCTCTAGGTTGTAATTTTATGGGAGCAGATCACTAGGTCTTTCCAGATCTCCTGGTGGAATTGAACCACCAACCTTTATGGTCAGCAGTCACGCACTTAACTGTTCACACCACCATGTCACAGGAAACTTACTACCCAAACTTGAGACAACTGGTATTGCTACTGGGAGTCCTTAGGCATCGTAGGGCTCATGATAATTCACTAGTGCCTGTTTTGAAGAGGGAGCTTTGGAGATATAGTGAGTTATATCTTGGGCTATGAACCGAAAGGTCAGCAGTTCAAAACCACTAGCCTCACCAAGGGAGGAAAATGCGGCTGTAGAGTCACTATGACACGGACTCAACTCTATGGCAGTGAATTAGTCTTTGAGTTCTGTTTTGAAGAACAGCAGGTTATGATACTCTTTCCTGAAAGTACAATGAACTGCCAAGAGAACACTCAAGTTTGTCTTGGAGGATATAAAGCCAGAACGCGCCTTAGAAGTGAGCTTTTTTTCTCAGGTACTTTGAATATACTATTGGGAGAGAGCGGTCCCTGGAGAAAGACGACATGCTTGGTTAAAGTAGAGGGTCAGTGAAAGAGAGGAGTCTTGACAAGATGGATTGACACTGCGGCTGCGCCAATGGACACAAACATAAGAGTCGTGAGGCTGGTGCAGGGTGGAGAGTGTTGCCTTCTATTGTACACAGGGTCGCTGTGAGATGGAATGGATTCCACAGCACCTGGCAACAATACGGCGTTTCCTTAGAGCCTTCTTATTCTGGTTTGAGGTTTATGCATTGTCTCCTACCCCGTGAGCATTCAATAAAGGCTTACAGAATAACTGACTGCAATATGGAAGCTGGTAGTTTCTTACCACCAATTTAGTTAACTTTTTTGCCTCTATTGTTGTTTATTTACTTATTTTTATTGGAAATTTTAATGCAAGTGTACAAGAGTAATAAATCAAAACATTTCGGAGAAACTGCAACCTTGCATTCCTTTTTTTGATAGACACAACTCGTTCCAAAAAGAGTTATGAAATGAATGGGCGTGAGTACCATTATGTGTCAAAGGAAACGTTTGAAAGCCTTGTGTATAGCCAGAGGTAAGACGGTGCATCTGACTGCTTTACATTCAAAATAGATCCTTGTTTTGTATCTATTATCTAAGGTCTTAGAGTCATTTCTACGGCTCCTGAAAAGCTAAGCAAGGACATGTCTGTTGATAGCACTCACTCACTCATCAGTTCACTGGGTTTGAACAGGGAGCAGAGTTGTGATGCCAACTTCAAAAAATTTGATCCTGATGAACAGTCCCTAATTCCTCTTGTGTTAGTAAGAGTTCCACATTGATGTCCTCTTTGGCTGGAGGTTATCTTTTGACTCCTGATCATCCTTGACTCACAGCATTTTGTTTTGGTCCCGCCCTGGCAGAATGCTAGAGTATGGTGAATACAAAGGCCAGCTGTACGGCACCAGTGTGGATGCCGTTCACGCGGTTCTTGATGAAGGGAAGGTCTGTGTCGTGGACTTAGAGCCTCAGGTGGGTCACGATCTCCCAATGAAAGGAATGTATGTCACCCATCTCCTGCCCATGCTGTAGGTTGTGATTGAGGAACTGGTTGACCTTCTAGGATAAGATTACTTTGCATAGCTAGGGGCCATGGTCTTCCCTGGAGGGGCCATCTCATCCTCTTGCCTTCAGTGGGGGGAAGAAGGCTTGCTTGTCATACACAAAACTAGAGACAAGTGGGTAGGACTAAAGGACAAATACGAATCTCTCTTTCCTGGGTCTTGCTCCCAAAGCCAATAAGGTCTCTCTTTGTCATAGAAAGAAGACATTGTTTACACAGGAAGGCAAGGTTTGAATGTCCTCCCTCGGACTGGACAGAAGTGAGCAAGTTAAGTAAGATTAGGAACATGCAATGTGTAGGCCACATTTTTCCGATCCTCCTCTCTTCTTTGTGCTTCCTTGAATGTGCGCTAAAGAGAACCCAGGCAGAGAGACGAGCTCTTACTCAGGCAAAGCTGGTGGTAAGGTGAAGGAGAGGGCAATGGGGACGCCACAGCGGGCGGGCGCATCTTGAAAATCTGCTTTTGTCTTTGTCCCATGAGATTATGTACAGACTCCTACGCTCACGTTTCAGTAAGAGCCGTAGCTCGTCAATGGGAACATTAGAACATAGTTTGCATTCATGATCACTATCCCTTGATTGGTAAAATGTTGCTTTTCAAGAGTTGAGGGCTTGGGGGCACATGAGAATGTACTGCAGTGGGAACAAAAGGGTGGCTAGTTTCTGGTTCGGGAGTTTCTGAGAACATTCATACCAACTCTAGGAAATGTGGACTTTTGTTTTAAAATATGCACGTAATGTTTATGTACAGGATATTCAAGTGGCTCGAACCCAAGAACTGAAGCCCTATGTCATATTTATCAAGCCACCTACCGTGAGCTGTATGAGGCGATCTCGGAAACATGCCAAGACCATTACAGACTACTTTGTGGAGAGGAAGTTCAAGGTAAGACACAGAGGACGTGGTTCATTTTTATTTTTTCCCCCTCATCAAAAATAGCACTATTGTTTCCACGGGATTATAGTTAAGGAATATCACATGCACCCTTTCGGCGTATCTTTTTTATTGGACACCATCTACAGATATTAAAATTGATTTTAATAAATGCTATGGTGCTACCCTTTTTTTCTTTCTCCTCCGCTGTGTTTGTGTTCGTGTGAGCAGGTCTAGCTTTCATGAAAGGTCCCATGAGCAGAAGTCAGGAAGTTCACTTTTAAAATGGTACACTGAATATAATTTGTATGCAATATCAGGTATCTTATTACCTTACTTCTCATTATTTTTTTCCATATTTTTTCAATGACTAGTTTATGAAAGTCTAATTCTCCAGATTGTATTCAGGTTCAGTGAAGTTCATAATTGCATTCTCTGGATGCTATGGACATTTAAAACTGTGTTCTCATTTTGATGGTTGTCTAAACATTAATAACAAATTTTCCAGATTCTGTGTATAGCCAATTTTTACAAGATTTCACAGTCTAGATCTGTACTCTTTATAACTGCACAGGCAACAAATAGTACTATCTAAATTGTTATAGACATATAATGACCCAACCAGACCAAACTTAGTGCCTCTGACTTGCTGCTGCCTCCTAGTGACCCGGTAGGACAGGGAAGAACTGCCCAGTGTGTTTCCTGGACGGAACTCTTTACGGAAGCAGAAGCCTGATCTTTCTTCCGCAGAGTCCTGGTGGTTTTGAATGGATGACCTTATGACTAGCAGCCCAGTGTATAACCACTAAGCCACAAAACATTTTACAATGTCATCCTTAACAGAATGTTCTTTTGAATTGTGATTTTTACTTATATGTATTGGTACAACGACTTTGGTTTTACATTACATATGATTTGATAATTTAAGATTAGGTTGATAGAATGAAATCATTTAAGGCCAGTTGGGAAGTCGAGTGGTCATTTATTTGCTCTGCATATTCTTTCATTTCTCCTGAAGGATGAAGACCTACAAGAGATGGAGGATTTGGCGCACAAAATGGAGACCCAATTTGGCCAGTATTTTGACCACGTGATTGTGAATGACAGCTTGCCGGATGCACAGGTCCGGTTGCTGGCAGCAGTGAGGCAAGCTCAAGAGGGTCCTCAGTGGGTCCCAGCAACATGGATTTCCACTGAGTCTGAGTCTTAGGAAGGTCTCCTGCTCAAGGTTGGAGATTTTGCAATGAACCTTTGTTACAGGTACCTGGAACAATAGCTGCAATATAAAGTATCACTGTTGGACCGATGACAATGCATTCAACTTTAAAAGTGCTGTAGCTTAGTGGTTTTATTTGCAAAGAAATGTGTATTGCATGGTTATATCGATTGCTTCTTGGGAAACCTTTTCCTTCACCTATGTAACAAAGGGTAGGAACACGAATGTGAAATGTCAGCGGACTCTCCATCGAGTTCATATGGTCTCTGTAGGATTTGGATAAAAAGAGCTTTCTTAAATAAAACAGGCAGTTTGGAAGCTGTTTCACTATATAAAACCTGCTTTAGGAACATGTGTGTGCCACAGTCCACCTTCACAAAAAGTTCGCCTCGCTGACTAGCCCGGCTCAAAGAGTTGATCCACGGGCACGACATCTCACCTCAAAACCTCAGAAACCGCACTGCTCCCATTATTTACAAGGAAAAGATCCTTCGGATTAGAGCTGCCCCTTCATACATCTTTCCCAAAGCCAAGATTCACGGCTATGCCTAAATTGGTGCTGTGCGGTGCCCTGGAGGGTCGGCTCGACTCGAGGCCCCTATGCTCAATAGGCACCACCACCCCGTCCCCGTGCCATCACATTCTCCGCACGTTTGAGCCCACTGTTGCAGCCACTGGTCAGTCCTTGTCCAGGGTCATACATTTTTCGTGGCCCACTACTTTACCAAGCACGGTTATAACCAAAAGACCCCAAACCCAAACTCACTGCCATCAAGTTGGATCCAACTCATGATGACTCACAGGACAGCGTCAAACTGCCCCTTATGATTTGGTAACGACAAATCTACGAGAAAACCATAAGGTGAGGATGTTAGTCCACAAAGGCTCATTTTTTAGTGAGACTTCACCTCTCTCTCCTCCCAAGTCAACGCTCTGTGTATCTTCGGCATCATTCTCGGCTTGCTCTGTAATCCCCAAATTCCTTCGCCCCTCCCATTTCCTTCTACAGCCACGCCATGGAAGAAAATTAAGCAGAACATTACATTTTAATGAGGCCGAGTGCGGGTTTGAGTTTGTTGTGGTTCGCCGAGAGGGCCAAAGGGTGCCCAAATATGCTGGACACGGCTGCGGCATGGGGAAATGCGTGAGAACTGCACGGGTCCACACCCCCGTGCCCGGCGCCCGGGCGGGGAATGCGGGGGGAC